AGGAGGAGGAGTCGTAGTCGTCGTCGTCGTCCTGGTGGCTGTAGTGCCAGTTCTTGTTTTTGGCAGTAGTCGTCGTCGTAGCAGTAATCGCAGTAGCCGCAGGTAGTAGGAAGAACAGCAGCAGCAGCAGCAGCGGCAGCAACAGCAACATCAGCAGCGGCTACAATGGCAACAATGACATGCACAAGAACGGTAGTAGTGACGTCACCATAGTGTCGTAGGCCAGTACAGATGCGAAAGCTACAAGAATGACCTACTAGTAGTTTTGGAATAGGAGGAGCATCCGTAGTTCCTGATATGTATTTGCTGGCAAGGGATCGGCTAGCTGCTAGCCACGTTTTCATGAGCTGCCTCTTGCCCACAGCTTCTTGCCCACGGCTCACAGAAGAGTACTGATATCCCGCCATGCCTCCTTCGTCGCAGACTGCTCTGCTGGAGTTTCCTTACTCCCGGGTGCATGAGGAGGGTGCGTCCAAGGCGTGGCTTCAACTTTCTGTATGCTTTATGACTCTGTTAACTACATCGGGCATCATGCATTCAACTTGTCCAATAGACTCAATGAGCTGTCAACAAACTTCTTTCGCTGGGCGGCCACGAGGAAGGGCGGCGGTGCCTTCGCCGCCGGCTTGGCCGAGTCCTCCTTGGTCTTCATTTAACAGAGCTTTGTACAGCCAAAGCCGCCGTCTGGTGCGTGCTCACAACATCAGATTAAGCTCCCAGCTACAAGGAACGGCGGCGGTGCCTTTGTCGCCGGCTGCTTTACCGGCGGGCTTGCCGGCGCTGCCGGCCTCTCCTCCTTGAAGAATGGCTCGAGCTGTTCATATCTCTTTGACATGCAAATCCTGGTCCGGGTTTCCGGCGGGCGAGACCCCAGAATCGAACATCACACGGCAGGTATCCAACAAGCTCAAGGCTCCTCCACAGAACGAGCCGCGTCAGCTGGCACGTCCTTCAGAAGCAGCAGTTCACCAACCGGCGGAATCTTCGATCTGCGCTGGACGACTTGTGCCTTCGGCTGCTCATCCGGTACCTTGTCGTCCTTGGTCTTCATTTGACAAAACTTTGTACAGCCATAGCCGTTATCTGCTTCATGTACACGGCATCAATTTGAGCTTGCGGCTACAAAAACCGGCGGCGGTGCCTTCGTGGCCGGCTGCTTCGGCCTTGCTGGTGGCAGCTCCTCCTTCAAAAGTCACTGGATTCAGGCTCAGTGAACGAAACGACGTTGGAGATCTCGGGGGAGCGACGGAGCAAGGAGCTCGAACATGGCTTGCACATTCGCGCATGGAACAGTTCTTGCGAGGCATCACAATGCTCGAAGTCCGGTCCGGTTGCTCACTGTTGAGTCAAGGCAGCTTTTCATTACCCCTGAGCCCAATGGCTCCTTGACGTCCGGCTCCTCTGAAAAGGTAACCTCCGGAGACGAAGGTTGGGAAGGTGCTTGCAGCTCCATGCCAGGATGTCATGCACAAGGTGGGCAAGAGTGCCTTCGGTGCTGCACGCTGTGCTGAGGATTCCGCCGTCGGCGGACCCTGATCCTGAAACTCTTGATTTTCGAACGTGTTTTGAGCTCCGCTCGTTTGGCTTCCATGTCCGCGCGCTCTACACGGCCTGTAGCTGCAGCTTTATGTTCCGCTTCTGACTTTAGCAGCTTGAAGGTGTGCGTTGGTGTTCCTGGCTTTGCGGGCGGGCTTCTAGAGCCACACTGCTGGACAAGAATGCTTTCCAGGCTGACTGCGGGTTCGGTCTCGGTCATCCTTCTTTATTCAACACTCTAGGCAACCATTTCAGTCAGATGATCCACTCAGTGCTAGCAACACAAACAAGCACGTTAACCCTTCCATGCAGGCAAGTGACCACCAGGTGCGGTGGTGGGGCCTTTGCCCCCGGCTGCTTCACCGGTGGGCTTCTGGACGCCCTTGACGGCTCCTTCGGTGGCTTATGGCTGTAACGTGCTGCAACTGTCAACCGTCACCGCAACAAATATCAATGTCAACATGGAGCACGGTAGACAATGCAGAATATCCCGCAATGTTTCGATTGATCTTAGAATTATGGATAATTGTAACTCCCTCACGAAAGCCCAGGAGTTCATGACACGCCCATGTTCCCGATGGCAGTCTCTGCACGTCTTTGTCTTTAACAGCCGAATTGGAAAAAACAAGGACGGCACGGCGAACGTGCACAAACCTGCAGCATGATAGCCCTGCTAGGAAAATCGAGCAACTGCATAAATTCGTGAAGGTGATGGTCATAAATACCCTACAGAATGCCTGTGTGCGCCCTAACTCTCCCCTTCGAAGATGCATCAGGATCTGGGTTTCTCTTCATTCCATCCATGGCATCCAGCGACTGACCGACAGAGCAATGGCACTCTCGTAGCCATGTAGAGTTTATCTATTCCACGATAACTTGACATATCATCTAAGATCTAAGTACCGCTACATGACAGTTCATACTGAATTTGCTCTGGCCAATTTCTGCTTCGGTAGAAAATGACATCATGCATCTCAGATCTCAGCCTTGCAGCCTGTACTACGTATACAAGTTGTACAAGTGCTGGGCGGTGCGGGATGCGTCACGTATATGTTGTCTAGATGTCTAGTGTTCTCCGTCCAGAACCAACAACTTGCTATGTTTGCTTTTCTGTGACTGTATTCCGTCATAAGTTGTTGCCTCCCACTTCGCAAGGACAAGTCCACCTTGCAGGGTGGTTCGGCTTGGCAGACAGTTGAAACTACTGTGTGTGTGCCCTCCACAAATATACGGCTTGATGCATTAGTCACATCATGAGTCTGATCCTCTCTCATACGCCGTCCATGATGCAAAAAATACTACATGTTGATTCGATTCTTTGTCACGAACTACAGGGCCCTTCCCTAGGGTAACGGTGAGACCTGATACATCGCTTAAGAGGAGAACCATCGTCACGGATCTTACTGGGATGGAAGACTTGGTAGCTACAGCGCAGGGCGATCGGGGCTACAGATGCTGAAGTTGAAGCAGAAAACTATTTCAGGCCGCTTACAGGGGCAGAATTGCTTAAGGTTGCGGTGAACAGCAGCTTCAACGTCCTGCGCTTGGTTTTCCCAGGGATCCTCGGACTCGGAGCTCCAAGGGTGGCTTCGATGCAGGCAGGCTGCCATGTGCATGATCAAGGAAGTCGGTCATAGTGATAATGCTTCGTGCTCATCTTGCCATGCTTATGACCGTGACGACAGTCAGTGCAAGCATGGCTAAAGCTGCTGTGATGCTTCTGTCATTCTTTCGCTTCCTTCTCCCGT